TTTTTTTTTTGACTAGTTCATTTCTTCGCTCTAGTCACTTATTTTGGTAATCTGCTTTAAATCTGAAGTTACCTTAGTATTTTTATTTGATGGCTGTTTCGGTATATTCTTTGAAAATTTTGTCACCTGTAACCTGTTTGTGACATATTGAAAGGTATGGAAAGTAAAATAGTTTGAAATTATTTCCTGGAAGACATGACAGATAATGATTTTAAGGCTGGAGACAGTAGAGCTTTGCCACTTAACGTTTTCTCCATCACTTCTGCCCTGTGACATGGCGGCATGTGAGCTGATCACGGAGACTCACAGTGGAGCTCCTCCTGGGCCTTGAGGGTTCCCACAGCAGTGCTTAGCCGGGGCAACCTGACAGCTTATCAGACACATCTTTGAGCGCTAGTCTTTTTTTCTTCCTGGTTTATTTTTTGCCCCAGGTCTTATTTTTCTGGACAGTTTAAGATCTTTTCTTCTTTGCACTATCTTCATACTCGGCAATACTTCCAGGAAAATGAAGACTGGTGCCAGCTTAGTGTATTATGATCTTGAACACTGTGTCAAGTCCTGTACCCTTGCATTTAAGAATTTGTATTATTTGTAAAGTGAAAGGAAATTCTGAGTTCAGAAACCCTCTTAGCTGGGTGACCCAGTGGTAATTACATGTGTTTCTGTGTATTATTGGCTCAGACATTCTAACTGATCGCATCTATTTATGTAGTACTTTCAGAAATGATTTTAAGAATATATTTAATCGTTGGGGATGCCTTGTATTTGCTGAAAACATTTTGATTTTAGTTTGTCACTTTTATGTCTTCTTAAGTATAGTCTGGAAGAACAAATAAATGTTACTTAAATAAATTTTAATTGAGAGCTATATTTAAGGTGCTAATACTTTTTACAAAAACTGCTTTTGGAGACATATCATACTTGCTAGTTTATTCTAGCTATGTGAGGAATATAGGAATCCAGCCCCTGGGGAAGAAAACAGGAATCTTTATTATAGAATGTGTTTTATATGCTATAATTATTAGCTTACCAGTTTTCTCTTTTGCCTCTCCTTAGAGTAGTTTTTTAATTAACATGTAGAGACTCTTAAGTTCTTAATGGATTAGTGCCTAGCTTTTATGGGCATATACATATAAATGCTTTTAATGATGTATAAATTATATTTTTATTTAGTTTTCTGTTCAGTTAAACTCATCAGTTATACTAATAGTTCCAAAATTACTTTGTTTTGAATTAAAACTTACATTCTTGGTTTTTTTAATGTATATATTGTACGATAAAAAGGAACATTAATCTCCAAGCTCCTTAAGTAATTTTTTAATGAAAAATTTTAATCTGTTGAGGCAAGTTGAGTGTGAACACACAGTGAAACCCTGGACTAGCATCTATCATAATGAAGATGTAGTGATTTTGTGACGCAGAATTAACTTTGCGGAGAGAAACTTAGGGTTAAGGTGCATGTGCCAGTGTTAAAATGCTGTTTGCATTCTCAAATTAATGTTGCAATTATTATTTTTTTGACTAGTGAGTATGGAAAATTTTTATTTTGTTCTCAATATAAAAGGAAAAACTTTTAAAACCACTGCCATCTAATAACTGTAGATTATTATTTTGAGGTTTTTCTTTATTAGAACTTCTTTATTTAATATTAAGCACATAGGTGGATAATAAGGAATGGAGTGGTTTTAAAAATCAAGGTAATTGATTAGACTAGTTAATACCAGATTACTATAGCATGCTTCTTTTCCTTTCCTGTTTCTATCTCTTATTAACTCTGCTATCTGTGTCTTTCCAGTTCCTGTCGAGTGGTGTCAGTTTTGTTCTTGTTTGTAGTTGTTTTGTTTTATTTCTACTATTCTGCACCTAAAACTGATCTACTAATTTGCTGTTTTGAACTCAGCCTTTGTCGGAATTATGGGTAACACAAGATCTTACAAACTGCTAGACTGGAATAGTTTCAATTCAGGTATTTTAATGGTCATTCAGTACTACATATGCTGACAAAAATTATGGCAGCTCAGTGAAGTTTTTAGAAATGTTCTAGCGTAAATAGGTTTAATGTCAATTCACTCATACAAATACATTCTGCACTATGCGTGTGATAACTTATAGTTTCCATGGAAGCACAAATACAAAAATGTGTTACAATGAATTACTCAAAACCATAGAAATACTATTAAGTTATGAATGACTTTTCTTTGGTGATTAGCTTTCAGAGTGATAACTAAACTATATTTATATATTTTGGACAGTTTTTTATATCAGGTAAATGATGCAGGCACTAGTTTTATGATTAGGCAGATATTTGTTAAATATGATTATTATATGATTGACATGATAAACTTTAAAATAAAGTATTTTAAACTGCATATTTAGATTTGAATAGAATATATTTAGTGTTCTATTAAATACTATATAAATGTAATGGATAGCATCTTTTATTTGTAATTCTGTTTAATCTTCTAAAATTTGGTAGCCAGGAGCAGATTTTGGGAGGATTAGTAACTTCTCTATGTAGTCCTCCTCTGTCCACATAAAAATATAGTTTTTCTTTTTAAATAATATATATGTTGATATAAAGTATAATTCTTAAAGAAGCTAAAGATAGAAAACTTGTACAGCTGATGATGTGGTTTAGGGTCAAAACCTATTTTTCCTTTAGATAAGGGCATATTCTTACTAATATAAATATTTTAATTTTAATGTCTGTTTTTTAGAATATAGTTAAATAATAGAATTAAAATAATTCAGTATCAAAACTGATACTTTACCTACAGAAATTTTTCCGTCCTTTGTGTCAGAAAGTGTATTTTAAAGACAGACAAAAATACCAAAGAGCTCAACGTTTTAGATAATATCCCAGAACCTTTTCAGTATTGTAAATCTCTTCTATTCTTATGAGTCCAAGATGTAAGTTCTGATGTAAGTAATGCATGTTTGACTGTGAAGTAGCTCATGTTTGCCATGCAGATTTATCTAAGTCCAATCTGGTATCAGTATAATTATGACCAACCTTTTCAGATGTGGACTTTTACCAGTTGGTAAATGTAGGAAAATTATCTCTTTTTTAAAATCTGACTTTTTACTATAATGTTGTTATTCATCAGAATTAAAACTGCCATTTTTAGAATTGTTTTTTAGTAAGAAATTTAAGAATATCTAATTGGTTTCATCTCATAAAAGAGTATGTATTTTTTAAATGGTCAGCTTAAGGTAATGTGAAGAGGAAAAGGCTGTATGTATAAAAGATAGCAGATTATTAATAATTTAAGGAAGTGAAATCTTGTCAGGGCAAAGGAGTTAGCGTGTGACTGATGTACAGTGTGTTGTTCTGATGATGGGACAGGCAGTGTTGGAAACTGGGAAGGGCGAACATTGAATCTCCAGGCCTAAGACATTGTCCCTGTGATTACAGAAGGTTGGCAAGGAGACACATGGTTGAAGAAGCAGCATATCTTGCCATCATTTAAAATCGTGTCAGGAGTCTGGGCATGGTGGCACGCACCTGTAATCCCAGCACTGGGGAGGCTGAAAATGGGAGTCCGAGCTGCATAGTGAGACCCTGCACACACACACAAAAAAACCCTAAAATCATGTCAGGTGGGAAGTGTATGAAGAAAGAAAAAAAATAGTTATGTTATAGAATGTTAAAAGTAAGATGACGACAATTTTTGGCTCAGTGTTCTTTTAGTAGTATGCTTTTAACTGAGGCATTAGACTTTTCTGTTAACAGCTAGCTCATCTTCAGAAATAAAGTGGATTTTGATGATTAGTTTAGAAAATATAACTTATGTTTGGAAAATGTAATCAAACATTTATGTATCCTTTTTAATTTGGAAGTATTTAGTAAATTTTTTATTACCATAGAAAATCAGGAATTGACGATATTGTTAAGAAAGTAATTGTAATTGTTTTAATTAATTCTAGAATGGTTCACCATATTTTCTGGCTTTTCTGACACTGTATGTTATATAATGCATCATTAGTTTAATGGCCTTCCCAGATAAAAGGAAAAAGAAAGAATACCACATTAAATACACTTAAAGTATTTTCAACATCCTTAATTCTGATACATTAAACTGTGACTAGATATACAAAAATATATCACACAACAGCTTCATAGCTTACATGACCATGTATAGCCAAGCTCTGCAAAATGAGTTTTTGGTCAATGATAGGTCATGTATGTGATAATAATTAAATAAGATTAGATTGCCTAGTGATGT